TTTCGAACTGAAATTAATTTGACTTTATATAACTGTACTTCATTAATTATAAATATCAGTATATTATACAATGAGCAATCTGAGCGACCTAACATATTTACGAAAAATAATCAATCAAGTGTCAACTTTTTTTAAATGGAAAGCACCAATAAATAAGCTCAACGGTGTCGTCGGTACGTCACACAGTTACAACACTACACCGTATCTCAGTTCCCTTTGCTTAACTACATAACATAACTTCTATCACTACAAAACTACTAAATATTTGTTTACACCAGTCTGACCACACTACACAACCAGTACAATATTTTACTGATGGCATTAAGAGCTGCTAAGGCCTGTATTATTTCCAGGAGTGCCCCTCCGGTATGGTAGACGAGGAAGCGTTCAAGAATATCTTCTGTCAGTTCTTCCCACTTGGAGGTGAGCGACCGTTTCTGATATGGCTTACTGGTGACTATACTCCATTCATTATAGCATTAGACAGAATGAAAATAAGGTTCTTTTTATGGTATACTTTGTGACAAAATGTCAAAAATCATGTTACTCTTAAGACTAACGGTTAATTTGCTACATATCCACTTAAATACCAGCTGCTAAACTTAACCGTAGTCTTTTAAGCTATATATTAAACAAATTTATGAGTATTTGACTGACTTAAAACATTTATTAATTATTACAATAAAAAGTGTTCATCTTAAAGAACCTAAAGAACTGCTGCTTCTATGACCCTCTTTTGTCTAATGTTATAATGAATGGAGTATAGCTACTTTCATGCTACTTTACCAGCGTAAGTTATATCCCATGTCACCGGCGTATGATGCAGCTTCGCGCAGGAGAATTTTTTTTCAAATCACTGCAATAGTTTTAGAACGTATTAAATGCAAATTAATAAATAATAAAGTTTTACATCTTTATAATTAGATAGTAGTGAGTTCCCATTTATGAATTTATTAATGGAAAAAGCTCGCTAGCTTTGTTATTCTAAGACAGCTACATTTGGTCACTATCTGAGCTGATGGTAAGTAAGTAAGCTGCCATAATAACTTGTCTATACTCCTAAACTAACATTATAAATAAGAAAGATTTGATTGTTTGTATGTTTCTTTGTTTGCATCGAATAGTCTCCGAAACCAGTGGACCGTTTTTTAAAATTCTTTCACCTACGGGCAGCTATATTTACGCGTACGAAGTAGCGGGAAAACAGCTAGAATTTGATAAATTCTTCAGTCTGCGATAGGTGTTATTTAATTTCTAAGACAAACCTATGTATGTTACAGACGCGTCTCAGTATGCACATTACGTATTCAACACAATCAAACACAAGCAGAGCGGGAAAGTCAACTTTGAGGTGAGGTTTTTATGCCATGTAAGCAAAGGGATCTAACCCGTAAAGCCTAGTCTTTAATAATATTTCGACTATTTGAAGGTTTAGAAAAAAATATTAAATTATTTGTGTTACATTTTTTTTTGAAAAAGAGCAATTTTTAATAGAAACACGCGTTTTTATTTATATTTCCGGATGGATGTGTACACGGAAGTCTGATACAATGTCTAAATTGCTTTGTAGACATTACTGACTTATGACGTCACTTTGTTACGCAATAAATACAACTGTTTTTCCTCTTATTTCCCCCGCAATAAATACTCCATTAGGATAATAAATGTTCACATTTTCCTTTACAATGCGAAATGCGAAACAGAAACTAATATAATACGATCGAATGAACAATACGGCGCCAGAGCGCCTGCGGTGTTGCCAGATGGTGGTAGAAATTTCTCCCAAACTGATAATTGGTTGCTTGACCGTCTTATAAAGAGTATTTTAAGTTTTATAATAGTATTTTCATCATCATCATATTAAACTACCATCAGATTTATTTTTCTACAAAAAGATATTAGGTAAACAAAGGATGGGTTATGGCTTGTTATTCCTATATTGATTTCATTCACGGGGAATACTGTGCTCTGGAAATAGGAAATTAATAGTCTCATTATAATGATCAGGTTTGTAACATTGGTTTGTAGGCACAAATACAAATTATGTAAATACGTTTTGGAAACTAAGTTTAAGGAGCCGTGACATATATACGAAGAAAACGAAGGAATATCGCAAAAATTTTAGAAAATGTGCCGAAAATATTCCTCCATACACAGAAATTTCGAAAACTGAGAAAATACCCCAATATGGCAACTCCATTTGAGGCCCTTCTATTCGCACTCTAATAATACTTAATTGAAATATCCAACTGCCTTCTAATTGGTCGATGGCTCGTTGCCAAACGCCGATAGCACATTAATATTTAATATTTATTAAATGAAGTTGTTATTACAGCATTTTATTAGCAAAGATTACTATAAGTTACTATAAGGGATTAAAACTGAATCCAGAAAAAACAAGAGTAATGACAAACGGAAATAAAAGTACAATACAACTAGAACAAAAAGAAATACATTACACTGATGAATATATATATTTGGGGCAGATCATAACTCAACAAGAACCCATGCAAAAGGAAGTTACGAGACGAATTACTAATGGCTGGAAGAGGTACTGGGGACTAAAAGAAGTTATGAAAGACAAAAAACTACATATAACCATGAAAAGCAAACTATTTAATAGATGTATATTGCCCGTTTTAATGAACGGCTGCCAATCGTGGACTCTAACCTGGGATTTGACAAGCAAGCTGGCAACCTGCCAATACTCAATGGAGAGAAGTATGCTCAACGTGAAGAAATTAGATAGAATGGAAAACAGTGCGATCAGAAACAAGACAAAGGTCGTTGATATTACTGGAAAAATTAGAAGACTTAAATGGAGATGGGCAGGGCACATGCAGAGGGGCCAAGACAAATGAAGCAAAAGAGTGACTGAGTGGTACCCTAGAAAGGGCAAGCGAACGAGAGGCAGACCTCAGAAAAGATGGGATGACGATATCAGACAAGTGGCAGGAACGACGTGGAACAGAGTAGCTCAGGAACGAGCAGAATGGAAAAAGTTGGAAGAGGCCTTTGCCGACTGGCAGACGGATCTACAGAAAATAAAGAAACGAGAAATATTAAATTAATAAGGATAAGATAATTTCATGTTATATTTTTTAATTCTAAGTTTGGTTATGTAAAGAGATTTACAATAAGATCCGAATCAAAGGGCTAAAATTAATAAACTATAAGTGAGCTATTAGAGTTGGTAAATAATAATAAAAAAAATTAACAGCCTCAAAAAGAGTGGAGGGGGAGGTAAGTGGAAGGGCGCCAAATGAAGTTTCTGTTAACTTAAGACTGTTAGGCTCTTCTAATATTACAATACTAACAGACAACTGGTATCCTACGTGAATCTTGACGATGAGTATCAGATACATTTTCTACACTTTCGAATCGCACACTTCCTATCAGTATTGTACGCATCCGTGTACCGGTCTCGTTAGATCCGCCATACCTCAACAAAATGGCGGAGAAACAGCAGTTCAATATGTCTTTGATCGTCCGTGTACGAGCAATCATCACTACATAATATAAAACAAAGTCGCTTCCTCTGTCCCTATATCCGTATGTACGCTTAAATCTTTAAAACTACGCAACGGATTTTGATGCGGTCTTTTTTCATAGATAGGGTGATTCAAAAGGACAGTTTTTATGTATAATACAAGAGCGCGCGGGCGAAGCCGCTGGCGCAAAGCTAGTACTAGATAAATATGTTCAGAAAGCAACTTTAGCATTTCGCGAATTACAATCTATATTTACAATAAACTGGTGCCTATTAAGCATTCGACTGAATCAGTTGTTTTATTTACATCACATGTCTATCAATTCTTATATATCAATTTAGTATCACATCACCAACCCTTTTACGTCCCCACTGCAGGGGCTCAGGCCTTCCTTATGGATGGTTAAGGAAGATGGGCCATGACCCTCCACGCTGGCCCAATGCGGATTGGAGGGTATCAACGACTGCAAATGCAGCCGGGACCAACGGCTTAACGTGCCTTCCGAAGCACGGAGTAGCTCGAGATAATAATTTTTGGTCACCCATCCCGAGACCGACCCTTGCGAAAGTTGCTTAACGATTACGATCGCGGGCCGCGGCGCTTATCCACTACGCCACCGAGCTACTATCAATTTAGTATATATAAGTATAATTATTATCCAAATGTAGTTAACCCCTACAGTCCGACCAAAGTGCACTTCAAACGCAAATGACAATGTCACCAGAAGCTCAATGGCTTCACTTTAAATTTTCGCAAGATATTTTATACTTTGATCTCAAAATATTAATGTTTAAAATGAAGTTGAAAAATTGGACAGTTTTATATAACCTAACAAGCTGTTGACCGTACGAACCTGTAGTAGCAAACTTTGTAATGCTATGGTACCGCAACTGAAGTATTGTCTATTACTAGAGCCGTAATGCAGGATGGGGCTTATGATTGTATCATATATCAGACAAATCCTGAATATTACACCATTATAAAAAAGCGAAGGGTCGGGGGGTCGCGAAATACTTTTCATACCTGGGGGGTCGCATCAAGAAAAAAGTTGAAAAGCACTGGTCTAGCTAAAACTCGAAAACGGCTGGGCCGATTAAGCTGAGTTTGGGTTAAATGCTTGTTGTAGTCCAGGTTAGGTTTAAAAGGTGATGATACGAAGTACACCAAGTCATGTAGTACATACCGGTAAACTTCTTATGTTCCGCATCCACTCCGCATCAATATCCGACTCCACATCATCACCAATCCCTTATTAATATTTTTTATTTTTCCCTACGATCCATCAGTTGTAATGTTGAACTACTTTATCATATTCCAGGAGTTCCTCGAGATCTTATCACGCGTCGCGCGCGGCACTGTACAGGAGAAAGTGTCTTGGGTGTTCGCGCTCTACGACGTGGACGGCGACGGGCGGATATCACGCAACGAGATGTTGTCGGTTGTACAAGCGATATATCTGCTGCTTGGACGAGCCGTGGCGCCCTCTGTACAAGCCGCCACGGCTAAAGATCACGTCGATAGGATATTCCATGTGAGTCATCTGAAGAGCAATACTTATATTTTTATAGATTAATGAAATGAGCCCACTGAAATTGTCTGCCATCAAAGTTTTACGCATCACATGAAACTACTAGAGTATTGTGAAACTAACACGTGCATAAAGGAAGTGAATGTCTACACGTGACACTGTTTGCTAAATTAATAAAATGAAACTAATGTCAAGCTGCATATTTGTGTTTTGTAATGTATATGCGGCTTAATGTATTTGCAGTTGATCGACACAAACTCTGACGGCGTGGTGACGCTGGAGGAGCTGTCGCGGTGGTGCCTGCGCGACCCCGCCCTCGTGCGCTCCCTCGACACTCTGGACACAGTGCTGTGATGTCCGCACACTCCGCCACACTCCGCCACCACACGACACAGGTGACCTCGACACTCTGGACACAGTGCTGTGATGTCCGCACACTCCGCCACACTCCGCCACCACACGACACAGGTGACCTCGACACTCTGGACACAGTGCTGTGATGTCCGCACACTCCGCCACACTCCGCCACCACACGACACAGGTGACCTCGACACTCTGGACACAGTGCTGTGATGTCCGCACACTCCGCCACACTCCGCCACCACACGACACAGGTGACCTCGACACTCTGGACACAGTGCTGTGATGTCCGCACACTCCGCCACACTCCGCCACCACACGACACAGGTGACCTCGACACTCTGGACACAGTGCTGTGATGTCCGCACACTCCGCCACACTCCGCCACCACACGACACAGGTGACCTCGACACTCTGGACACAGTGCTGTGATGTCCGCACACTCCGCCACACTCCGCCACCACACGACACAGGTGACCTCGACACTCTGGACACAGTGCTGTGATGTCCGCACACTCCGCCACACTCCGCCACCACACGACACAGGTGACCTCGACACTCGACACCGCGCTGTGACGACACTCTGGACACAGTGCTGTGATGTCCGCACACTCCGCCACACTCCGCCACCACACGACACAGGTGACCTCGACACTCTGGACACAGTGCTGTGATGTCCGCACACTCCGCCACACTCCGCCACCACACGACACAGGTGACCTCGACACTCTGGACACAGTGCTGTGATGTCCGCACACTCCGCCACACTCCGCCACCACACGACACAGGTGACCTCGACACTCTCGACACAGTGCTGTGATGTCCGCACACTCCGCCACACTCCGCCACCACACGACACAGGTGACCTCGACACTCTCGACACAGTGCTGTGATGTCCGCACACTCCGCCACACTCCGCCACCACACGACACAGGTGACCTCGACACTCTCGACACAGTGCTGTGATGTCCGCACACTCCGCCACACTCCGCCACCACACGACACAGGTGACCTCGACACTCTCGACACAGTGCTGTGATGTCCGCACACTCCGCCACACTCCGCCACCACACGACACAGGTGACCTCGACACTCTCGACACAGTGCTGTGATGTCCGCACACTCCGCCACACTCCGCCACCACACGACACAGGTGACCTCGACACTCTCGATACAGTGCTGTGATGTCCGCACACTCCGCCACACTCCGCCACCACACGACACAGGTGACCTCGACACTCTCGACACAGTGCTGTGATGTCCGCACACTCCGCCGCCACACGACACAGGTGACCTCGACACTCTCGACACAGTGCTGTGATGGCATATATAATACAACGCGATCTGTTGTGAGGAGATGGTAGTGGTACTATAGGTATTTGTTTATCTTAAGCATAAAGAAAATTTATATATAGGTAATCGAAATTTTCATGTTTTAAGGGAAAACGCTTCGGCATGAATGGGCCGGCTCGACCGGAGTGATACCACGGCCTCACAGAAAACAACGCTTGCGTTGTGTTTCGTCGTGTGAGTGAGGGTACCCTCTACCCCTCAACCCTTCCCTCTAAGGCCGGCAGCGTGCTTGTAGCCCCTCTGGTGTTGCAGGTGTCCATGGGCGACGGTAATCACTTATCATCAAGTGATCCGTCTGCTCGTCTGCCCCCTATACCATAAAAAAATATATGACAATAAAATTGTACATGTGTCGTGTAGTGTGGACGAGGCGCGCGCTAGTTGTTCCTCGGCGGTGGATGGCAGGAGCGCCGATGACGTCACGGCGGTGGCGCCGCCCGCGCCCCCCTCCCGCGCGGGCAGGGGCCCCCCGCCCCCCGTGCCCGCCCGCAAGAACTCCACCAGCGTGAGTATTACTACTATCTGAGCACCAATATCAACACAAAAGGCTATCCGTACCGGAAACGAACACAAAAACCACGTGTACCCAACACAATTATCTAATCCCAACTTTCTTACTATCACCGTTTATGAGTGAATCAAAGCTTCTGTCCACCGCGTATGATGTAGCTTCCTGTAGGTAAAATAATTTTTAATATTACTCCAATAGTTTCGGAGCCTATTTAATGCAGAAAAGACAAATTATCAAATATCTTTCCACTTTATAATATTAAAAGCTATTTTCCCGTGACTTTACACCCGTAAATTATAGCCTATGCTCACCCTGTATAAAGTAGCTACCCGTAGGTGTAAGAAATTTTGAAATCGGTCCACATCTTTCAAATACAAACAATTTAAGCATTTATGTCGCAGCATACACCCAGTCTCTATCACATGTGAAATAGTTTTAGCGTGAAGTTCATGAATATCTTATAAATGGAATAGAAAGATTTATACAGTAAATTATTTAAATAAAGCGCTGATAAAGATGCTTTTCGTTCCAGGTCGTCGTAGAGACTTCACGTAAGACGAAACGTCGCACGCGCCGGCCATCCCCTCCACAACAACCGAGTTGAAACAAAACGACCTAATGTCTCTCGTAATAGAGTATAAAGTGAAATCTTCCTTGCGTCTACATTATAGCGTTTAAAACTACGCGTGTATTTATTATGGCTTAGCTAATAAGAGAATTTCTTCTAATAGCTTGACCAATAATAACTGAATAAATTAGAATTTAGAAAAATCAATTAACTTAAATGAAAACTTTATGTCTACAATGAAATATATATATTTACATTCTATTTTTTCTGAATGAGAATTAAGAAACTAAGAAACAGTTTCTTTTTATGACTTTAATCATAACCATGTCATCGATATATATAGATTAACAAGACGAATATCTAATTCTAAATAATTTTAAGTATATAACATATACAAGTACATTTCGGCAAATAAGGGACTCCAAAATACTTATGATAATATAAATAAAAACTTTATTTAACTACTATTATATAATATTAATATACTTAATAAGATGTGATGGGTATCTGATGATATTACTTCTTTAAATTTTTATGATATGAATTTTGAATAGGAAATGTAGTTTAGTACGCCAATTAACTTTAATTGTTTTAATGATGTTTCTTTATCTTACTAACCTACAACACCACACCAATTGGAATTTGGTGGAATTTTCACAAGTGTAGGTACCATAATAACATCATATTTTATCAGTATTCAATTGCATTTAGATGCTTATATATTAGATACGCTAGAAGTTTCTTTTGTCATCTCGGGCTTTTAATAATTTAAATGTATATTTTTCGGCATAGTTGTGTTAACTCGAGTATAATAAACTTGCTCTAATTATTCTCATATTTTCTTCTAATTATACATTTGGTAAAACTTTAATGTAAATTAAATAAAGCTTACTGATAAATAATTATAATATGGATTATCAGCGTTCCGCCGGCGACTTCGCCCGTGATCCTGTATTATACATTAAAAAATTTCTTTTTAATTACCCTCTATATGAAAAAAAACCGCATCAAAATCCGTTGCGTAGTTTTAAAGATCTAACCATACATAGGGACAGACAGACGGAAAGCGACTTTGTTTTGTACTATGGTACAATAAACTCAACGCTAGAATATTTTCTTTTTATTTATGATATATAGATTACACAGATATAGACAATACGCATTAGATATACTGTTAGGTCCTGGGTAGTTCAGTGGTTAGAGCAGTCGCCCTGGTTGCGTAAGGTCATGTGTTTGAGTCCCAAGGACAAAGTGGATTTTTTAAGCATAGATCCATTTATGCGATCTTTGAAACGATAATTTTGGTAAGAGACAGTTGTTATTTTTTAAATGTAACAATAATACGTTGTAAACGAAGCATATCCATAAAACCTCAAGAAATGAACTAGGACGGTAAGGACTTTACAATCGTCAGCATTTTTGGTTTTTCACTAAACTTCTAGTTTTAGAAAATTTTATTAAAAAAAAAAACAATAATTGAATGACTTTCTTGTTAGTACGTAGTGCTTTCGCGATGATTCCTCAAAAATATATATACGTAATATTGCATTGTTTCTTTAAGGTAGCAGTGGTAATATATAAGCTGCACAATTAGATTTAACTTATATTTATCTAAGTAGTTTTGCCTCAAAGTAATTTTCACTTTTAACTCTCAACGAAACGACTATAAAAACATGAAATTTAATACACATTATCCTTTGTCTATATTTGTCTTGAAAAATCTATTCTACCCTTTCCTTAATATGGCAAAAACTTTATTTTATACCAAACAAAATGTGATATCCAAGTTTATTTATTTATTTAATCTTAATTGCCTAGTGAAATAGACAAATGGCGGACTTAATGCCAAAGCGGACTTAATGTCAAAGAAGTTGCAAGAGAAAATTATTTTGATGCAACTCTCATTAATTGCCAGTAATCGTAGACTATATAACAAGAATGTCAGATGACCCAATAACTCAAAGAAAACAACCATAAACTTAGAGCTATCAGTGAAAGAATGTGAAAATCATGACAATCGCCGCTGGAACTAGCTGCATCTGTGATAAACCACGACTCAGATTCTGCTAATTTTAATGAAATAACACCAAATATTGTATAGATGGCAGATACTTTTGTGACAATCATTGTGTAAAAAAACCAAGACACGCTATAATTACATTAGCAATTCGAACCGCACTACCCGCACTGGAACCACGTGGTAGACTCCGGCGCATTATGTGATTTCAGCTAGACGATAGACGTAATGCTCTTACAGAGAAAGCATAAATATACTAAAAGGACTACACTAAAGATAATGAAGACAAAAATCAAGAAAAATATGAGAAAACAACTATACGCCAGTCTATTTGCCAATGAATATGTTATGACGTAAAACTTTCATACATTTGACATTCTTGTGTCTTATAATAAATAAGGAACTGTTGCCTCTAAAATATTATGGATCACTCTATGGCAATACTTCGTGTTAAGTATTTAATAATAAGAGACTCTTCTATTGCATGTTGACAAATTAAAAATCTATTTTCTCCTCTTAATTAGATATTAGAATCTTCAAATTTATTCGAGCCTTAAATCTATTTCTATATTAGCGTTTAATGCTACTGTGTGTGTGTTATTATTAATGTAGTGTGAGGATTTAAAGACAGAGTTAAAGTTTTTATTATTATTTAATTTTACAGCATTGACTGTTTGTATTTTGTTTATGTTGTGGAATTTAAGTGATGCTTTTACCGTTACATGGTTCTTTGGTTGCAGCTGAAATGGAAAATATCCATTATCTGTAATAGTTTTATCGTTGCGACACACTTTATAGACCATTTTAAAGTTTTAACGTGTTATTGATTTAGTTTCTTTATTGTTTTTATGGGTTAATGGGTTCCTATTGTACAAATCAACTTTTTGTTTATCCATCTAATAATTGTTTTAGTGAATTTGTCAGTAACGTTACTGGTTTTAAAGGACTGGTTTTAAAAATCGGCAACCATCCGCTTAACACATATTACCCGTAAAAGTAATAACTTCAGCGAATATTTTTAACGAATGAAGTAAGAACTGTTAATAGTTAACTATAAAAAGTTCTCATTTCATTCAGATTCTCGTCTATGGGTTAAAAATATCTGCTTAAGGTACGATATTTTCCCATGCAATTACTTCTATCGACTATAAATACGCGAATTACTGATGAATTATCTACGCACTCGGGTAATATTGTTAGTTTGTTTACATACACTATTGACACGCAGTTAACGTTGAAAAATAATAAATTGTAATCTTAGTCGATGTTTGAATATGTTTACTTTAAAAGTTAATTAAAGATAACAATATACGTTTGCAATTTAAGTTAAAATATGCTATTAAAGAACAAGGATCTTGTTTCGCTTTTATCTTTAGATAATCTGTGTTGTCACCCATTACATAAATTATTATTTACAACATTGGACGTGTTCTCTTTTATTGAACCAAATTCATCACCATATTAATTTAAATTCTTGTCTTGCAATACTGAGCTTCCTGAAAATAGAAACGAGACGAAAGAAAAAAGGTTTTCATATTATTATATGGGATGTTGACTAATTCTACAGATGTTTCAAGCAAATCATATCTTTGTTTTATCACAGTTGAAGCACTACGTCCGTGTCTTACTAGATCTGGGGGGCAATTCTACTAAATAAATTTTGTTTAAATCGAATCGAAAACGGATCGAAAATGGATTCTACTAAGTGACATACGATACAATTCCAGCTAAAATAGAACTGGAATTGTATCGTATGTCACTTTGTAGAATAGGAAAACCATTAGAAACTGTACTTTAGTTCGGTTTCGATCCGTTTTCTATTCGATTTAAACAAAATTTATGTAGTAGAATTGACCCCCTGGGTGACCAGTCCGTGTACCGTCTCGTTATGTTTAATATATTATCTGTGTAAAAAGTGCAGAACTCGCTCTTGACCTTTTTTCTAATCTATTATTATGAAGTCTATTGTTTATGGTTCTGTCTTTTAGCCGCCATGAAAAGAATTTAAAATATATTTTGACAAGCTTGTGTGAAGATTACAGTTTAGTTATTTTCATTGTATTTCACTTTTATTAAACAATTTGTAATTTATAATAGCGTGTTTTCAGTTCCAAGGGCCATTATCAGACTCGCGCTATACAGTGAGGCAGTATTAAAAAAGCGGCATCTAGTTTGATTTCGGGAACTATTTTTTTTTTTAAATACTTATAATTTTATTTTATTTATTTATTGAACTTTATTGACCAATAAAGATGGTACAAAAGGCGGACTTAATGCTAATAGCATTCTCTGCCAGTCAACCTTTGGAAAACAGAAAAACGCGATGGCGGTACAGAGCAATAAAAATAAAATAAAAAAATTACAACTACAAATACTGAACTAATCATAAACATACTACAACATACTTAAAATATAAATAAAATTACACATAATTAAATATACATAAATACACACACACACACACACACACACACACACACACACACTTATCATAACTATTAATAATTATAAAGTACATATTTAACAATGGCGACCACTATTTTGTTTTATTAGTTTGGATTTGATGTGCTTTAATCAACATCCTTCGGAAGATGTATTCGTTTTAACACAGATCTATTTAGTTGATGGATGCCCTTACACCGGACTGTCACTACTCTCATTAAGTTATCTTTAGCGAGACAAAGATGTTGTATTCTACAGAGTATCCATTGCGTTGGAGGTGTTACTGTTGTAATATTATAGCATAGAAGATAAATGGTATAGTCTGTTTCCGGTGTATTGTATCCTGTGTGTGCAGGTCTGTGATTGTAATTGTATCTGTGAGCATCATAAGTGAGTAGAAAATTAAATTATCTAAAAACATTAAAGACTTAAATTATAAAACAGTCACTTCGTCCCTTATAATTACCAAGTTTCCTATGAAGTTCATATTAAAGAAAAAAGTTTCCTATGTTTGTCGATGTAATTACAACATGCCATTTATGTCTCCGCTGCAAAATTTTAAGATATATTTACATTGGCACATATGCCTAACATTTTGTTATAACATGTTATTGATTAGATTAGTTGACAATTACTTACCGACTAATATTGTATGCCTTTTAGGCAGATCGCAGTGTAACGCATTGTATATAACGGCGGGTAGTCCGAAGGGCCTATTACGAAGCCCAAATAGATCGTCCATATCGGAGGACTATCTTTAAAATAACACTGCAGGCGTGTATACCAACGTGGACTTGTTCCATTTTATCACTTTTCAAACGAAAATATAACGAGATGAGCGTGATGTCATCGGATGTCTTTACTCATCGGCGATCGGAAACAGAATGTGTGCCAAAAATGGCGGCAATTGACTTTTGTTAACGAACTGTCAAAGTCAGTTTCACCATTCTAATAAAATTAGAAGTATCGATGATCACGCTCTCTCTACAATCGAGTAATTAAGTAATCGACAAACTAGCATTTAAAAAAAAGTAACTAAAGATGATGCGACATATCTAATATCTTTATATAACCTGTGATCAACAATAAAGATTGATTTGATTGGATTCTATTTATATAAATCCTTTTCTATTTCCCAGAACTTTCGTAATAAATCATTGTCTCCTGCAGTCATACGTGTAACATGCAATGTTATTAACTTGTGACTCTTTATCCGGAAAGAAACCACCAGACAATTGATTTTTGTGCAAAAATATCACCTGGCATTTTTATTAAACTCTAACTTTACAGATTACGTCAGCTCCAAGCGGAATATCTATATTATATGGAACGTGATAGTAAGCATCAGCTAACTTATACATTTTGTAATTATGTCCCATTCACCGCGGACTTATTAATAACTTTTTTTTTTTGAATGGATAATGGTACGGAACCCTTCGTGTGTGAGTTCTAATCTAACTTGATTTGTTTTTTTTTTAATAAGGGGCAGTCGAGCAGACGGATCACCTGATGGTTAGTGATAACCGCCGTCCATAGACACCTGCAACACCAGAGGAGCTACAAGCGCGCTGCCGGCCTTAGAGGGACGAATATGCTTTACGCTTGAAGGTCGTATCGGTCCGGAAATACTGCTGGCGGAAAACTGTTCCAGAGTTTGGCTGTGCGAAGCAGAAAACTTCTAGAAAAACGCACAGTTGAGGACTTCCAACCATCAAGATGATGGGCGTGGATTTCTTTTCGTGGAACGATGGCGGACAGTAGTGGCAGGTTTTATGGCTGCAATCAATTGAATCGAATAGGAACAATGGGTCTAGACCCACCACGCGGGCCCATGCGGATTGGTGGATGTCAACAACTGCAGATGCATACAAGACTAATATGATTAAGTGTTTCCCAGAGCACGAAGGAGCTGCTCATGGCAACGTGCCTCGTTCTTAACATTATTATATTATCGTCGATGCTTAATATTAATAAATTATGATTTAGAATTACTCCGTAACATTTATTAATCAATTATCAAACCTACTTATCATATTAAATATTAATGAGAACTATCGGCGTCATGCTCGGTCACGGTTCGAGCCGTAACTACTGCGCTGGATCAAATTACTGGCACTTAATTAAAAAAAAATCATCAACATATACAGGACTCGACAAAAACTAAAATTTCAAGGAAATATATCAGTTCAGTTTATATTAAGACTATTTGAATATTAAGACTATATTAAAACTCTATTTGAAGATTAAGACTCTATTAAGACTTTATATCTTAATTAATCATATGAAATCTCAACATAGTTCCCACACTGCAAAGCTTTTTAACTTAAAGTTACATTTAGTCTGTAAATACGTATTATTATTATTAAAGCAATAGCTTTCTCGTCTGAGTTTGTTTCGCCAGTTCTTCTCAGATAGGACTGCTCTTGGAACTGGTCGTAGTGTATATTAGTCAAAGGTAATTAAATAAATAATTAAATCAAACATTTTGTGACAATAACTTAACTATTCCATATAATAAAAATAAAATGTATTATGAATGTGTCCAAAGAGTATTGTTTGAAGCGAACTTTGAAATACAAGAACCTATTTCAAAGCTCGCTTTAAACAATACTCTTTGGATTGTGAAAAATAATAAATAATCATAAACACACGTGATATAATAGTTTTAATGTAGTTTTAGTGATGAACCCTGCTCATAAGATAATTAAATATATAAAATTTATTTTCCACGTCCCTTTTTATACGATAACATTAATCTGTATTTAAAAATAGATATCCTGAAAACAAAGCGAATTGTAAAAATATTGTTGAGGACTTAATGAATTATAAAATATGTTTAGTTTATCATATTAAGTAATTTAAGTAGGTAGAGGTACCTAGTCTAACACGTCCTATAATGACACTGAAATTGATCGATTAATATAATATTTTTCTTTAATATAATTTATAATAAACACTTTTATTTTAATTGTAATAAATAAGAAACTATGCATGAGATACGTGAAAAATTATTTACTTACTTTATATATCATTAATACTGACCTACATAGGAACCTGCCTAGACATAACACTACTCATATTTAGCTTAAGATTTATTCTGAGACTTAAAATATCGTGTACCATGGACATCACTATTCATGGATTGTATTACGGGAACCTCTACCTGTCATTGTGACCTTGACATTGACATTTGACAAGAGGAGGTTTACACTAGGGATGGGCAAATGGAAAAAATATCGATATATATAGTACCGATTTTTTAATGTATCGATATGTTGATATATCGATATTTTGATAATTTTCAGCGACTGTCGATGAAAATTATCAAAATATTCGAAATTTTGAAGCAATTACACACCTGGTTGTTTTGACATCAATTTTAGTAATTTCGTTTTTTAAAATAGGTACATAAAGCCAAGAAAACAACATTATTATTACGACAAAAATTAGATTATTCAAACGAGTATTTATTTGATATTGACATCAGAAGCACACTCAGTGATACCAACCAAACCAAAAAGCAGTCTCATTGTCATAGACAAATAAAAAAGACAAGCAGGTCATAGACTAAACTGATACATCAAAGGGAGAAATACATGATGTGACGCATGAGCAAACAGCAGAACTTTTAAAAAATATATCGATTTTGATACAAATTTGATATCTGAAAATAAATATCGAAAGCTGATATATCGCGAGAAAAATATCGCTGATTTATATCGATTTTGTAGATAAAAATATCGTTACAAGGTTGTTTTACAATTTTAGACCAGCATATTTTATCGTCAAGACGATGTGCAAATATTAAAGTCAATATACAATAAATTGTCTGATTTTATATGAAAGAAAATGTCAAAAAATTAAATTACATAAAAAATAGCAAATGTCAAATCATAGTCATAAAATACAATAGGTTCATATTATAATCAAAGCATTCCTATAATAATTAAGAATGAGATTTATCTTGCAAGAATTCATTAATTGAATAATAATTTTTATCCATTAAATATTTAAATAAACAGGATTTGAATGTAATAACATTATCAATAGTTTTAATATTATTCGGTAATTTATTATAAATGCGTATACTCATACAATATGAGTTCTTCGAATTCATAACGAGTCTTTATATAACAAACCTAATATAAAAGATTAAGTTGTGTTTTTAACAATACCTACCTATAAATAAGAAAAATATACAAAATTAAAATACTATAGATATTTTGAACAACCTGTAGTGGGTGTTATACTTGCAATCTAGCGGTTATAAAGTGACGCTCGATGTGTGCTGCTTATTGCCGGCGCCGGAGACACACTACAGAGATGCGACTCATACTCGGTAAGGAACGCTTACTATTACTTTTACTTTTTAGTCGGGCGGGCGGAGGCCGAGGCTTCTTTACATTATTAATTAAATGAAAGGCGCCCGATTTAAACAGCATTTCCTTAAATAAGTAGCTTTTGAGATAAGTATTATTTATCATATTTTTAAATGTTGATGTTGGTTCCTTTTTTTTTAAATTGTTATTTCATTATTTTTAATGATATTGATAGTTTTTTTTTAATAATAGGTGATACTAAACAATATTAAATATCTATATAAATAAAGATCATCATCAGCCCTTTTACGTGCCCACTGCAGGGGCTTAGGCCTTCCTTATCGATGGTTAAGGAGGATGGGCCATGACCCTCCACGCTGGCCCAATGCGGATTGGAGGGTATTAACGACTGCAAATGCAGCCGGGACCAACCGCTTAACGTGCCTTCCGAAGCACGAAGTAGCTCGAGATAATAATTTTTTGGTCACCCATCCCGTGACCGACCTTTGCGAAAGTTGCTTAACGACAATGATCGCAGGCTGCGGCGCTTATCCACTACGCCACCGAGCTTTGCATACTAAATATCATATCCATAGTTATACTCTTGCTAATAACATTTTTATTTCATTTTACAACAGCACTTAGTTTGATCGTGCTGCAGCACGTAGCACCGGGCTGCAGTCGTGTAGCGCGCCCCGTCCCATCGGCCCTTAGAGCGGACGCCACCCTCGCGAATCAAGAGCTCACTGATCTCCTGCTGCCACTCCTGGACCACCTCGACGACAGCGGACATGATACAAAGAGGAAACGCCTGCTTGAAATCATGCCAGTTCCGAAGGGTCACTCCAAGAAAACACCACTTCTTATACTCGCTTCTGAAATACCAACGCGAAATATTAATGATAACGCCGACCCTACAGACCTCGATAGCTCAAAGAGCAATGTGGTTAATGTAAAATTAAATGAACATCGTGAAAAAAATAGTAAACTGAAACATGAAGAAGAAATAGATTCAAATGAAAGTAATGATGATGCCGTCAATGAAAAGGAACTACGTTTTAAATCGAAACTCAATTCTAATAACATCAATAATGTCAGTGAAAACAAAGATGTCAAAACACATATTATTGTCGATGAAAATAAAAATAACCAATATGTTGAAGATGAAAAAAGCGGAGAAGAATATGATCATAATGAAGATATTGAACAATATATATCTGAATTACTTAATAATTTGTCAACTGAAAAACAAAGCAAAGAGCAGGTTCCCGTCAAGACAACAAAACTTTCTTCTGTAGAAAAATCTGGCGAAAATACAAGTGTTAAGAACAAAAATCATGTTCATTTCAAAACTATCAAATCATCTGACGTTCAAAGCAAGCCTGTTATATTTGGAGATGACGATATAGAAATCAATAAACGAAATAAAAAAAATGAAAAACCTGTAAAATTAAATTCTGAAAATCAAGACCTTGTTCTTAAATCAGTTAATAAACCACAAACTGATACATCCAGAATTACACAAAATGAGGACGTTGTGGTCGTCCCATCAGACACACGCAGACAATCAACCGACAATAAAGGAGGTGATGATGATGAATCTGATACAAATAATGTTAATGTAGTTGTTACATCAGTTGGTGGTGATACCTTAAAACAAAATACCGAAGCAAATGATTCTCAAAGAGTCTTATTAAAGGTAAGCGAGCCCAATGAAAGTTCACTTCAAGAAGTAATTGAGAAAACTAAAGGTATTACGGCAGTACTCTCTCCAAATAAAGAACAATCAATAGATAATTCACCGAAAAGCTATAATGTTTTAAAAAATGCGGGAATTGTATCTCAATCAAGCGGAGTAGTCTCTACGGTGGGGGTATCGAGAGAAAAAGAAGTAATTGTGGTCAAACCAAATGATATCCGAGTCAAAGTGCATAATGATGATAATTATCTGGTGGTTTCAAGAGAAAACAAAGTGGTTGTAATTAAACCAAGTGAGATCGAAGTTGAAGTGGTCGATGATGATGATCAACTTACATTAGAAAAAGAAATAGTTGTGGTCAAGCCAAGAGACGTAACAGTTAACGTGCAAGACGATGATGTTTCTGCAGAGGTTACAGGAGAAAACGAAATCGTTGTGATAAAACCAAGTTACATCGAAGTCACAGTGCGTAATGATGATGAAATGGTTACGAGGCCAGCCAAAGTGCTTGTGATCAAACCAAGAGCGATCGATGTCGAGGTCATTGATGATGATAATGATTCTATCAATAAAAACTCAAAACTGCGATTGCCTAAAGGTGTTAGTAAAGATTTGGTCAAGAATAAAAACGTTGAGGTTACCAATAATGGAGAAGTTAGAGCTACAATCGAAGTGACAGGAGACCAAACAGCCGAAGATGTATTAAAAAATGGGTCCTTGGAAGAAATTCTTAGGGCCATCGGCGAAATAGGCCACACTAGAGTACCAGACGTTTCAGCCAACAAATGTGACCAAACATACGATAGGGACGTACTGAAAGGAGTCCACAAATCATTCAATCTCTCATTTCGTTTCAATAAATAATCACACACGATTGCACAAAATGTCGGATTAGCACTATTTGATAATTTTGTGTTTTGATCGTGTTATTGACTTTATATTATATATAAACCGACTGGCGTATCCCATGGACCCGATATAATTATACTTTAAGAATGTATGTAAAGTAATTTTGGATCTCTTTTCTAATTGTAAGTGTTTCCTGCAATAAAGAATGCTGAACAGCAACAAAGGCTTTTACTTACCATTATTATTGTTTCATCTATATAATATTTTAGTGGTTTTCCCGCGACTTCGTACTCGTTAATTATAGCCTATGTCATCCGCGTATGATGTAGCATGCCCTAAGTGAATGAATGTTTAAAATCAGCTCAGTAGAGTCAAACAAACATATTTACACATATTCAAAAAATAGAACTGACTTCAAATTTAAAATAAAACTATTTCAATTGTGTAGTTATTTAGTATTACTTAACAGAATTCTAAACTACTGGGCTTGTTTCGCAATGGCGCGGTGGTAGCGTTCCTACTATTGCGCCGAGAATCGTGGGTTCGATCCCCACTTAGGACAAACATTTTTGTGATTAACAATTATATCTGTTCTGTGTCTGGATGTTTTCTATTAATATTATGTATATATTTGTATCCCCCCCATTGTTTCCGATATCCGTAACAAAAGTGCCTAAGCTACTTACCTCGGAATCGGATCAATGTGTATGATATTGTCCGATATTTACTTCTTTCTTTTTAGTTTTTATTTAAGTCAATTTTTTCATGTCCATTAACTTCCTCGGCTATGAAGTATCGACGAATGGCATCAAATCCACAACGGAAAGAGTAAAGCAATATCTACTTATCCGAAACCGAAGACCGTCCTCGAGTTACGTCGATTCCTTGGGATGATTAATTTCTATCGTAACTGCCTCCCACTACAAGCCGAACTGGTAGTGATTAGAAATACTTATTCCAGTATATCATTTTGCATACACAGTAGGAAGAATTAAAAATAAAAATAAAATAAATTTTTATTATTCAGATTAAGAAATGAACTAAGATCAAGAATAAATTATTATTATTATTTTCTTTTGATGCTAGTGTAATTAAGACAAGTCATTGCTGTGAAGGATAATCTTTTAATAAAAATATAGATTAAATTGTATAAGAAAAAGCAATTATAAGTAATCATATGAGAGGGGTACACATGTATATTAAATTCATAATTATAACTTATTGGTGATTGGATTTTAAAGTGACACTTGTTCTTATATTTTGTTAAACTTAATTGCATAAATAATTAGTATAATAATTTTTTGTCTACCCACCTACTGAATACTATTATACTTTAAATCAATTATTTCATAATTTCTAATTAATAAGATTCTTAATTAGAATAGTGTTAGTTAATTGTGAAACCTTTTAACTGCTTTCAGTGAATAATTAACAATCTCCCAATTTAAAATGATGACCCGTAAAGCTACAGCACAAAACACTGAAATAAAGCTGCGACAAACATTGGAAGAACTGAAATGTTGTAAGGACACATGTAGTCAGCTTCTTCGAGAACGTGATGAGAGTGAAGAAGAGATCAAGAAAATTATAAATAAGAACACATTATTGAAAAGTGAACTTGCACAGCTACATTCACAGCATGAAGAAGTGCTTCTTCAGCAAGTTGAACTACGTGACACCTTAAGTAGTTTTGACAAGGATTGCAAGATGTATGAGAGAGCCCTTCAGCGCATCACTGAGCTAGAACAGGAACTGAGCATTGCAAACTCTCAAATTACAGAGTATGAGGAAGCACAACTTGTGCATAATCAATTACAAGAATCGCACAACACTCATAGTCTGTTTGAGGAGCTGATGGCAACACCTGGAGCACCATCTACCCAGTTTGCAATAAGACCTGATAGTGTTGTTTTACATCACCATACACAAGGTACTAAGAAGATTAAAAAATATGTTCGTATCAGCAAGTTCATTAAAAAAACTGAGAAACTTATTAAGAAAAACAACTGTTTCTATAAAAACATTGCTCTTAGGAAGGTAAAAAATAGTCTCATCGACTCCCTGGAAATTTATAGTTCCAAATTGACAGAGAGTAGGGAGATGTATGACCGAGATACTAGACAGTTACATTCTCAGATTGAAAAGTTGCATGAATCTCTAGAGAATATGGAAAGTAAATATTCAAGTGCACAGAAACAAATTAATGAGCACATTAAGTCTGCGTCAGAGTTAGTTGATTTATGCAACTATAATGCAGAGCGATATGAGTCTTTATTAAAAAATCAACAAATAAGTACTATAAATCATTCTTCTTTGTCTGATCATTCCATTATAAATGTAGTACCAAAAATTAATGAAATTTCTCATGATCTCGGTCAGTCATCTGTCTCATCTGTCTCTTATCCTATAGGTACAACATATAATGCATGCCCTTTCAAACCAGCATTGTCTTATGACTCAAGAAGTAGCAAAACAATAATGTTTTCTGACAAGCTGGGCCAAGGTCTTGGTTCGGCTGTCAAAAACAAATTAGCACAAAACTTCATAAATATTTGTTCTCCAGGTCGATCATTTAACAATATAGTAAAAAATCTGAGCAAAAATGAACTAGATAGTGCTACCACTTTAATTATTTTGTGTGGTGATAGCTCATCATCATCAATACAGGGTCATGTAAAAAGTATTGATAACTTACTAAAATTACAATCTGAATCAAATTGTAAAATGATAATAAGCAGCTTTCCATATGTCAAAAACTACAATAAGGAACAAAACATGCGCATACATAAATTAAATTTGACATTATATAATATGATATCTCGTCATAGTGACGTTATTTTATTTTTTGATATTAATAAGTATATTAAAAAAATAAATCTGACAAAAGATAATATGTATCTGACTAAATCATGTAAGACCGAAATAGCTACTTTGTTAGCTTTTAATTTACAAGATTCTGTTATATATGATATAACACAGAATAATTTTTGTATTAGTAATTCTACTAATGTAAATATTAATTTGACAAATTCAGTTTTAAACTGAAAAGTAAGACAAAGGCTAAATACATTAATATAATGCATCAAAATATACAGTGTTTGGCCGGCAAAGACTTAGAATTAGAGTTATTTATTCAATCAAATGATATACAAATAGTTTGTTTAACAGAACATTGGCTGCAACTCAGTGAAATGTCGTTTTATTTAAATAATTTTCATATGCAAAGTTCATATGTACGTCGGGGAGCAAAATGCGGTGGATCATTAATATTGGTTAGTGATATTGTAAAATCTAAGGAACGAAAAGATATCGTAGAATTAACGGTAGAACGAGATATTGAACTTTCTTGTGTAGAATTAAGTAATTTAATCATAGTATGTGTATACCGACCCCCCAAAGGTAATTATAGTGTTTTTGAGTTAGTGATGGAGGATGTGCTTAAAAAGTTAGACTCAAAAAACAAATTTTTAGTTGTATGTGGTGATTTTAACATAGATCTTCTCAAACCCAGTATAACATCCGATCGTTTTCTCTCTTTGTTCAAATGTTTTAATTTAACAAATCAATTTCATGAACCGACAAGAGTGACTGCGAATTCAGCTACTTGTTTGGATAATATTTTTTCAGAACGCAACCCAACAAACAAATTAGTTTTTAATAATATTTCATCTGATCATTATGGCTTGAAAGTTACTTACGAGATAACGGTTCCTAATGAACCTAAAATAATAGAAGTTAGACCATTTAATAATAAACGTATAAATAATTTTCAACTAAATATAGATGAGAAAATCGTGCAGATGTCATGGTCACATGACGACCCCGATATACTTTATAATAACCTTTTTCATCTCATAAAGAATGAATTCGATCGAGCTTTCCCTTCTAAAACGAAGAAAATTACTACGCAGAAACTACAGTTTTGTGACTGGGCTACGACTGGTATTTATAAAAGCAGAAACAGGTTATATGAGTTGTACAATCTTAGAAAGTATAACCATTCTGAAAAATTCGTAGATTATGTAAAAGCTTACTCCAAATTATTCAAAAAAGTATGTGCATTGGCGAAGTCAAATTTTATTAGAGACAAAATTAAAAATTCCAGTGATAAAATAAAAACTACTTGGAATATTATCAATCGTGAAACTGGTAAAAACAGACCACATGACGACGTATTGGCACTTACTTTCAAAAACGAGCTTATTAAAACTCCTGAACTGATCGCCAATATTTTTGATGATTTTTTCATAAATAAACCGATCGAGACAACTTCTAATTTGAATTCTTCGCCAGAGGCAGCAATGGCTTTGCTTAGGAAATGTGTACCAAAATGTGATACCTTATTTAAGTTCAAATATATTGATTCATTAGATGTTATTAAAGGCTTCAGATCAATAAAAATAAAAAACACTCGTGACTTATGGGGTATATCAGTGAATATAATTAGGAATATAATTAATATCATTGCTCCCTATCTCGCTGATATTTTCAATCACTGTATTGATGAGGGTATTTTCCCAGATCTCATGAAATTTAGTAAAGTCATTCCTCTTTTTAAAGCTGGTAATAAACAGGATCCTAGTAATTATAGACCCATTTCAATTCTACCGACACTAAGCAAGATTTTTGAAAAACTTATTCTGGAACAATTAATATCCTACTTTAATTCCAACAAACTTTTGCATACTAAGCAATACGGTTTTACTAAGGGTCGTTCGACAACAGATGCGGGTGTTGCGCTACTGAAGCATATATTTAAAGCATGGGAGGGATCGCAAAACGCTCTTGGTGTTTTTTGCGATCTGTCCAAAGCCTTCGATTGTGTTGAGCATCAGACACTGTCGTTTAAACTGAATTACTACGGTATTAAAGGTGCTGCTCAAAAACTAATGCTGTCGTATCTTAGTTCCAGAACACAAACGGTAGATATAAACGGTGCGAAGTCGTCGGGGTCTCATGTAAAAATAGGCGTTCCCCAAGGTTCTATCTTAGGCCCATTTCTGTTTTTAATATATATAAATGATTTGCCATTTTTTGTTAAAAACCTGTGTGAGATCGTGTTGTTTGCAGATGACACTTCATTAATATTTAACATTGACAGAAACAAATATAATTTTGACGATGTAAACAATACTCTCTCACGAGTCTTATCTTGGTTCACAGTTAATAATCTTCAATTGAATGCTAAAAAAACTAAATGTATAAAATTCACTTTACCTAATGTAAAAGTAGAACCAACTGAAATTAAACTCAACAACGAACATTTAGAGTTAGTAAGTTCAACAAAATTTTTGGGCATAACACTAGATTCAAAACTGCAATGGAACCCGCATATTTCTATATTAGCTGGTAAACTCAGCTCGGCTGCATATGCCATACGAAAAATAAGACAAATTACCGATATAGAAACTGCCCGGACAGTGTACTTTAGTTATTTTCACAGTATCATGTCCTATGGCATTATATTG